AAGCAGTAGTGAGAGGTACGGAGGAAGTTTTAACATCTCGTATGGATCGGATGGAAGAGACGATGGCGGAACATGGTAGGAAATTGGATAGCAGTATCGTGGAGATCTTCGAGGCGATCCGATTGATGAAAGAAACTGGTGCATCTACGAGTAACACCGTAGCACCACCGGGACCGGTACAGACGCCGGAGCTCAATCTCGGTAACAATACTCTGGTACATGGCGCGAGGTTACCGAATCAAGGTTATCAAGGAGTAACTCGCCTTAGCAAGTTAGATTTTCCGAAGTTTGATGGATCGGGAATTACGTAATGGATTTCTGTTGATCCATGAGTTCGACAATAAATTTATATACGATAAAGGATCGGAAATTCTCGTTTATTGATATTAACTCGGAAACTGTACATGCTAGAAAAAGATTGTGTATTGAGCTCGGAAGCTTAGGTCGGCTGACGAACCTTGTGTTCGGTTATCTGAGTATCTGAGTNANTTTATGAGACCGTNGCTTTCAAGNTCGGAACCTGTAATTGAAAACGAGATNGGGTTAGAGATCCAAACTGACTGAATAACTGGACGACGAGGTCGGTGAATCGGAGGTCGGAACCTGATGATAAGTGCACTCGAGGTCGGAATGCCGGTGTGATAAGTACGAACTCTGNGCAGCCTTTCCACGAGTAGTTCTTGTCCTTTCTGACCAATCAGGCTCGATCAGGTGATTCTTTCCCTTTTGGTGTTAGAGAATGATTGCTTTAAGCTCTCAAATTCCCCTGTACTTGCCCAAAAGTGGAAAAGTGATCCTTTCCTCATGGGATGGGGACCCCTATTATACTAAAAGTGGAGAGAATAAGGTACTAGGGCTTTCTTGGGACCAGTGCTGATGTCATTCAATGCAAGAGGCGGCTGGGCTTATTTTGGGCTTGAATCATCAGTTGCTTGGGCGAGCTCGGCAGACTCCCTCCTTCTGGGCCGAGCTCGTCGTGCTTTTCTCTTCTGGGTCGAGTGTTATTGGGTCATTCTGTTCGCTGGGCCTTTTTCGGAAATGGGCTTCAAAAGTGGCAATATTTGAAACCCATGCTAAACAGTAGCCCCCCCCAGTCGGCGAGTAGATGGGCTTTGGGCTCGTCGATGCGGTTTCAAGGCCCACGAAACATTCGGCCCATTTCTTCCTCGCTTCTGATTGCCTATCGTTGGGCGGGGTGCGAGCATCGAGATGACTCTTNGTCTTCCCGACCTCGGCCTATATAAACAACCCTTCCCCCCTTCATTTTTCATTCTGCGTTTTCCTGANTTTTGCGAAAGTACTTTCTCTCTCTGCCTTCTCTCTAACTTCTCNATACTTTTCTCGCTGCTCGACCTCGTTTTCTTCCGNTCTTGTTCTTAACGCTTCCTTAAGCTTCCGATCTCGATTCTCCATACTTGCAATCATGTCTGACTCAAATGAACGCGAGGAGTCCGTTTCGGCCCATTCCGGAGAATCTGAGCGTCTCCAGTACTCGTCTCGTCAAGACGAAGAATCTTCAAGCGGGCGCTCAGCAGATTCGGCTCCTTTGATCCGGAGAATCTTCAAGCGAGCTTCAGCGCCGACTACTCTCCCGCGGCCGAGCTCGAATCGTCCTCAAGATGGCAGCGGGACTCGAGCTACAAAGAGCATGGCCCTGACTCCTAGCCCGTCTAACCCCGGGTACAAGACTGCTCAGTTCGAGCTGGGCGATGGCGACCGTTCCAATGCTCCCGGGCTTGGAGATAGGGTTATTCTTCAGGGCAAGGATAACCTGCCGANNNGGTCNGACGCGGCCTCNCTTGCCGCTCTCCGGTCTTCGCATGGCGTTCCTGNGAACGTCACACTTCTTCTTCCATCACCCCAAGATCGTCCCTGGACTCCTCCCCCAGGGTACATGGGAAGTATTGTGCTCGACGTAGGATCGCCATATCGCAGTTGTCAATCGCAGCGATCCGCAACTTGGTGGGGGTGCTGGTCCTGGCGGCCGAGGTTAACCGAAGGGTGTGCTGCGACACCCTTGAAGAACTGACGAAGTTCAATAGGTTCGGGCCGGCTGGGAGCGGCCGGTTTTACCTTAGTTTAAGGAACGTCCTCCTGGCATGCTCCCCTGGGAACAAGACTGCGAACTGGGAAACTCGATACTTCTATGTGAAGATTGATCGAGCTTCAGTCGGAAACCCGGATTGGGAAATACGATCTGGGTGGAACGTTGACGTCGGTAAGAATCTTGTCTTTGCGTTTACCTTTTAGATTGTTCNANTAGCATCTAACTCNCCCTNGTTTATCCTACNGATNGCCCCCTTCCACTTNGNGCTTTTCCTCCCGGCTTCCCCCAATTGAGGGACAGGCTGCCCCTGTTCCAGTATCAGTGGTGGCCCGAGCAATTTCTGAAGGCGCGGATTCAGCGAGCCCGTGCTCGCATCCTGTCGGGTAACTTTTGCGGCCTTCTTCCTCGGTCCGGGTATTAGTTAAATCGGGTTACTAACTGAGCTTTTGGTGTGTTTGTAGGTCGGTACGATCTTCCTCTCGAACCGGCGCTTACTCCCTTTCCTCCCCACGCGGCTCGAGCAGAGAAGACTGCTAGAAAGGCGAACAGACCGACGGGGGGGGGGGGGNGATG